AGGCCTCCTGCTTCTCTTCTCTGCTTACAACCGGCTCTGAGAGCAACACAAACGGTCCGGGTAAACTCGTTACTGAGCGCGCGCTTTCCTGCGCATGCGCACAAGCTGTTGCCAGTTTGTCTGGCCCCGGGCAGCTTCCGCAGCCCGTTGCCATGGCGACCGCCCGGGCTTGCTTGCTGCAAGTCCCGGGACACAACAATAACAGTATCATTTTTTAACACACACATGTTTGAATCTCACACAATGAGATTCTTGTGGAGTTCTTCTCATATTTGTTCAATTGAAAAGATGCAGGTTCCTCATTAAAATAATGGGAGATCCTATCTTCAATTCCAGTTTATGTGGTGACAATCCAGAAAATTCAACTGAATCAAGGAAGTCTAATTTCATTTTTAATATAGGTGTTAATACCATATAGCTGGAAAGATTTTGACCAGATTCTCAGGCTGCCATTCAGTTGCTAACTATTGTTTCATTCCTCCTTCATTGTTTTTCTTAATAAATATTTTATAATTGGATCACAGAGAACTTCTATTAGAAATATCTTTATGCATGGGACAGACCAGTATAAAATGGATGTCCTTAGGCAATGTCAAAGCTTTGGGTTTCACAATTCCTAACAGAGTTATGGAGTCATAAAATTCAATACCGATCGAAGGATTAAAATATGCCATAAATCTCATGTGTTTGTCTTATCTTGCAAGATTCCAGGGCAGAATGCCTGAGTTTCCAGCATTCTTGTCTTACAGTAACAATAATAGAGTTGGAAGGGACCTTTGAGGTCCTCTAGTCCAACCCCCTGCTCAGGCAGGAAGGCATCTTAGATAAGAGCATTTAAAGACTTGCAAGATTTTGGTAGAGAGAGAGTTTTAAGTAAATAGGCAGGGAGGCAGGTGGGAAGGGAAGGGAAGGGAAGGAGATAGATTTGATTTTTGTATACACTTGAGAAGATTGACCTTTTTTCTAGCCCTTTGAAATAATTAAATTAGAAGCAGAATATCCATATAGCACAAAGAGCAATCTTTGATCAAATCCTAAGCCATTAATTCTTCAGTCTATACTTTGTTCTTTGTTATTCCTTGTTATTCAATTGGCACGGGCTGACTAGTTTTTCAAAAAAAAATACACAGAAATGAAGTCCCAATAAATCTCACCCAGTTTTGATCAGGTAACGTTTGTGAATTCACTTAAGCCAAGATTTGTCTACAGAGAACATAATCAACAAGAAACTAGCCAAGTAAGACAGCTCAAACGCTAATAGATCAAGATTCATCCTACCTTTCAAAGGAATCTAAAAGAACGCTATTTATCCTCAAACAGGCTGATTATTATGATTATACACGTCAGAGTTACTGGAGCGACTCCAATTGCTGTTAAATGACTAGTGTAATTAATTGCACAGTGCATGCACACTTAATTTTGAGGATGAATACTTTGCGAAAGTTTTGCATANCTTGTTAACTTCAGATGCCCTGGTTATTGCCAAGAATATATTCCAGTAATTCCCTTTCATGGTTCAAAGGAGACTTCTCCCTACAAAAACATTTCTCTTTTTATTTTTATTTTTATCTCTGCAGTGATGGCTGGGCAGACAGGTATGATGTGACAGAAGGCTACCAGCGTGAAGCTGCTGGTGGAATAACAATCAAGCTCCAGTCTCCTGGTGTGAAGTGGTTTGATGAATATTACCTGAAACTTCAGCCAGAAACCAATCAGCGAAATCCATGGTTTCAGGAATTTTGGCAGCACCGGTTCCAGTGCCGACTGAAGGGGTCCCCTCAGGAGAACCCCAAATTCAACAAGACCTGCACCAGTAAGTCTTCTGAACCTTACATCTTTATGTAATTGAAAGCAATCATTGTCCAGTTGTTGTCCAAATAGTTCATTATATCCAGGACTAATTTATTATTTCTAATTTACATTAGAAAAAAAGAGTTTATCTTGCAGGATTCAATCTGAGTCGGTCACCCAGGCCAGAGGTTTAGTCTTCCAAGCTTTTGGACTCATGATGGAGCCCACCCTCAGGGAACTGGGCTGTTCTGTGTGTCGTATTTATGTGATGCCTGGTTGTGTGTGACACTTAGTTATAAATTGGGGTGTTGATGGCCAACTATTCAGTCATTGTAAGTCTATACATATGTTGTATATAGTATGTTTTAAATGTGTGCTATGTATGTGTACACTTTGAGAGAAAGCAACTAAATTTCATTTTTTTAATGTGTGCCATTGTGCCCACAGGAAAAAATGACAATAAAGGTTATCTAATCTAATCTAATCATTGGTTGTTGTTTCCTGTGCTGCCACATACTTAGGTACTTAGCAGCAAGGACATGGCAGCACAAGGAAACAACAACCTCCGAGACCGCCTTCTGCCGCAGATTCCTTCCCACAGACCGGTACGCTCACACAGAGTGGGTCTCCTCAGGGTGCCGTCGGCCAAGCAGTGTTGGCTGGCGACCCCCAGGGGGAGGGCCTTCTCTGTGGGTGCCCCTACCCTCTGGAATGAACTACCCCCCGAGATTCGGATAATTCCGGATCTCCTTACCTTCCGTCGCGCCCTCAAGACATGGCTTTTTCAGCAAGCGGACCTGACCTAGGGTGGATTTTATACTGGGTTTTTTAGGAATTTGGAAGACACAACTTTAAAATTTGGTTTAATTCGGTTTTAAGGGGGGGATTGTAGATATGCTTTGGTTTTAAATATGTTGTGCGCCGCCCTGAGTCCCGCTGGGAGAAGGGCGGCATATAAATTAAATTAAATAAATAAATAAATAAATAAATAAACAACCAGTGACTTAATAGGCAGCCATCAATGCCCCAATTAACAACTAAAAGCCACACACAACCAGGCATCACATAAATATAGTGTTTCCCCCAAAATAAGACCAGGTCTTATTTTCAGGGTAGGCCTTATCTCACCTCCGGCACCGACAGCCCCACCCAGCCAGTCCACTTCTTCTGGGGCCAAAGTTCTGCAGCTGCATTCGGGCCTGTATTTTGCAGTCAGGCCTTTCCAGAAGGCCTAGGCAGCCGAGTACCGAGCTGGTTCTTGGCTGCACAGGCCTTCTGGAAAGCCCCGTGACTGAGAAATGCAGGCCTGGCTGCAGAAGAGGCCTCAGAAGTGGGCCAGTGAGGAGAGGCCTGGCTGCAAGGTAAGTGGATGCAGGACGGGTGGGGCAGCTCCACCCCCCCACCCCCATCCTAGCTTGATTTTTAAGTGTGTGCCTCGCCGCAAACCTAGGGCTTATTTTTGGGGTAGGGCTTATATTAGGCCCACCCACAAATATCAAGCTATGGCTTATTTTCAGGGTAGGCCTTACTTTTGGGAAAACATGGGTACAACACATAGAACAACCCAATGCACACATACTGGAGAGAGAAGTTCCTTGAGAATGGGTCCCAGCATGAGCCCAAAAGCTTGAAAGACTAAACCTCTGGACCCAGTGACCGACTCAGATTGAATCCTGCAAATTTATACTGGGACATGTATATTTGCCTTCATTCAAAAGCGCTTACCCAGGTGAACATACTGGTCCTGCTTTTAAATATTGTCTGTTGCAATGAGTTAAAGAAAATGGAAGTGACCATTTCAAATTATGATTTATAGATTAAATAAGCTGGTTATTCTATTTGGTTGATTCCTTTCCTAAGCCAGATCAAGGTGCGCTAGTGGAAAATACACAAAATCTGTAGAACTGTTCTTGTTTTTAAAGCTACAGATTTTGTGGTTACATAGAGCATTTGTGATAAATGCAGTGTCAGATTATATTGCATTATTGGACAACCTGTGACCCGTGGGTCTTCCTTTCAGAGATATTTCCTTACCTAAACAGAAAAAATAGAATGGCCATTTTATTAAAGAAGAAAGACGTGTAGCAAAAGAAATATAGATATTTTTCATTTAACAAAGGACACTTTTGATAACAATACTTGTGGATGATGTGCCATTCTTTAGGAATACTGCAATGTTTTTATTTCTTTTTCCTTGGCTTAAAGCAACGTACAGCTGACTATGCTGAAATATCAGTTTCTCCAGCGAAAACAGCACCTTTTCCATGGGTTGTCCTTGTGCTTTGTGTGTAGTGAGAACAAATATTATTTTGCTGTTTTTTAAATTGTTTAATTGTTTTACAGTTGTAGACTTGCAAGCCATCCAAAGTCACTTGATTGAATTGGGTGGCAATAAAATGAATGGATGAATAAAGGAATGAATGGAGGGAGGGAGGGAGGGAGGAAGGAAGGAAGGAGTGAGGAACTGTGTCTGCTGAAGAAGGATATCTTCACTTTCTGATAAACTGAGTGTAATTCTTGGAATCATAACAGTATCATTTTTTAACACACACATGTTTGAATCTCACACAATGAGATTCTTGTGGAGTTCTTCTCATATTTGTTCAATTGAAAAGATGCAGGTTCCTCATTAAAATAATGGGAGATCCTATCTTCAATTCCAGTTTATGTGGTGACAATCCAGAAAATTCAACTGAATCAAGGAAGTCTAATTTCATTTTTAATATAGGTGTTAATACCATATAGCTGGAAAGATTTTGACCAGATTCTCAGGCCGCCATTCAGTTGCTAACTATTGTTTCATTCCTCCTTCATTGTTTTTCTTAATAAATATTTTATAATTGGATCACAGAGAACTTCTATTAGAAATATCTTTATGCATGGGACAGACCAGTATAAAATGGATGTCCTTAGGCAATGTCAAAGCTTTGGGTTTCACAATTCCTAACAGAGTTATGGAGTCATAAAATTCAATACCGATCGAAGGATTAAAATATGCCATAAATCTCATGTGTTTGTCTTATCTTGCAAGATTCCAGGGCAGAATGCCTGAGTTTCCAGCATTCTCGTCTTACAGTAACAATAATAGAGTTGGAAGGGACCTTTGAGGTCCTCTAGTCCAACCCCCTGCTCAGGCAGGAAGGCATCTTAGATGAGAGCATTTAAAGACTTGCAAGATTTTGGTAGAGAGAGAATTTTAAGTAAATAGGCAGGGAGGCAGGTGGGAAGGGAAGGGAAGGGAAGGGAAGGAAAGGAGATAGATTTGATTTTTGTATACACTTGAGAAGATTGACCTTTTTTCTAGCCCTTTGAAATAATTAAATTAGAAGCAGAATATCCATATAGCACAAAGAGCAATCTTTGATCAAATCCTAAGCCATTAATTCTTCAATCTATACTTCGTTCCTTGTTATTCAATTGGCATGGGCTGACTAGTTTTTTTTAAAAAAATACACAGAAGTGAAGTCCCAATAAATCTCACCCAGTTTTGATCAGGTAACGTTTGTGAATTCACTTAAGCCAAGATTTGTCTACAGAGAACATAATCAACAAGGAACTAGCCAAGTAAGACAGCTCAAATGCTAATAGATCAAGATTCATCCTACCTTTCAAAGGAATCTAAAAGAACGCTATTTATCCTCAAACAGGCTGATTATTATGATTATACACGTCAGAGTTACTGGAGCGACTCCAATTGCTGTTAAATGACTAGTGTAATTAATTGCACAGTGCATGCACACTTAATTTTGAGGATGAATACTTTGCGAAAGTTTTGCATATTGCAACATCATCTGCTGCTCAGCGTTTCACTTAATTTCAATTAAAATGCATTTTGTGGGCCATCCTTTTTCAAAGCTATTGTGCTTGTTATTTTTAATTAGAAAGAGACACAAGTTGAGTAAGATAGTATGGCTGTTTCCTTTGCATCCCCCTCTTGTTTATGCTTTCTACTACTTTGTGAGTATTTATGTATGCATTTAGTTGATTTATTCAGTCTCGTCCACAAAATGACACAGGATGGGATGCAATTTAAAAAAAAACACAGGGAGAACAGGAATAAGCTGTTGTAAGATATATTGTATATAATGTACTTTTCGTGTATTAAAAAGAAATGCAAACTTATTACCGAGGCAATCCAACAATGAATCATATCGGATAAGATTACAAAAGGTCTCCAACCAACTTCTGAGAAAAAGTCCCAAAAGTGCTTTTTCCAAAAAGCTAGTGGACTTTCTTGGGGGTTTTTTTCCCTTGAAAACACTTTGCTTCTCACCCAAGAAGCTTCTTCAGTTCTGAAGTCCTGTTCAATTCAGAACTGAAGAAGCTTCTTGGATGAGATGTAAAATGTTTTCGGGGGGGGGACCCCAAGAAAGTTCAGTTGCCTTTTGGAAAAAGCACCTTAGGGACAACCATGACCTGGATGATTGAGAAGCTCCATAGACTTCTGAGAAAAAAAACTTGGTCTTTAAGTCGTTAAGAAAAGCAGACTGGCTTTCTGATTCTTTGGTCATAGGCATTCTTTTTTTTTAAGTTTTTTATTTATAATACAGTTAAAACAAAAATGGACATAACGTAACACTCCAGCATATGTATTTCTAACAATTTGTTCCTCTTCATACATATAGTTCTTAATCTCTCAATATACATACAGTACATATTTTTCTATACAATACAATATCTAATTTATTTCTCTATATACTAACATACAATTATATATATTTCTATCTTAACACTAGCTTATAACCCGAACAGTCCCCCTTGATTCACACCAGTAATAAAATTTGTCCCAGATTTCAAAATAATCTGACTCTGTCTTGTCCTTCATTTCCATTGTGAGCCTATCCATATCGGCACACGATAAAATTTTGTATAAAACCTCTTCTTCTGTTGGAGTTTCTTTATTTCTCCAATTTTGTGCATACGCCAATCTAGCAGCTGTGAAAATGTGTAACATCAGGTAAAATATTCCCTTTATCGTATTTCTGTGTAGTTATGCCTAATAAGAAGAGTTCTGGTTTTAGC